CTAAATTAGTAAAAGAGCCTCCAAGTACAGTATGCATGTTGCACATACTCTACAGTTCAAGGTCACATAGATAAGCATTTGTTACACAACTTAGAATTTTCATTATTGTATTCACTTTGCATAGTAATCAAAATTAAATAATTAAATAAAACATACCTGAAATAAACACAACCATCAGTAAGTCAAAATTACAATATCTTGAAGCCAACAACCACAATAAATAAACAACCATTATAAGTATAAGACCACCCATAAAAATAATAATATAGTCAGACTAAGTGTTAAACCTGGAAAGGTTTCAGACTACCCATTAAATACAATTTTGATATTAACATAATCAAGTCACTAAGAGAAAACATCACAAACTCACAACCTACAGTTAAACCTGACCTAATAAAAAAAAAAAAGTTAATCAGTATCACCATTAGTAGCACCACCCAAGTTAAGAGTAGCATTTTCCCGTCCACTACATAGTAGTTTTAATTTTAGGTACCAATACTGAGACTGGTAAGTCTGAGCCTGAAGCTCTTTCTCAAGGAGCTTCATTCTCACTTCATGCTCACGGCGCTCTAATTCTAAACGCTGATTTGCCAGCTTTGTATTGAGCAATCTTTCAGCAATTTCATTTCTGTCACTGTTATTATCAGTAAATGATGATGCTATGTTGTCAATACAATGGACAGCATCTGAACTATTTACAAAGTTTGTATTATGGCCTGAATTTACACAGTTATGTGACGAGACAGAATTGTGACTCCGAGGTTTTGAAGAAAGAGCACTGACTTTTCTGGATCCACGCATATTAGAGCTTTTGTTGATGCTTGATGACTGAAGTTTATTAGGTACCATTTTCTTTAAACTGGGCATTGGTTTAATTGAAGCTTGAATTGGAGAACTGCTTGGAGATGCAGAATCTCTAGTATGAGATCCAAAATTCCCTCCTATATGATTAGTGGCACTGATTGGGTTTGGGATGTTGGTTATAGACAGACAAGATGCCAAACCCTTTGGTAATATAGGAATTTCTGATGCAGAGGCAGCATTCATTGATGAAGTGGAGGTGAAGGGATGATTTTTCTTTTTTACATTGAAAACCTTTGTGCAAGTAGGTATATTGTATGGGAAGCTACTACTGCTATTCTTGTTTACTGCACCATTTTTGTTTCCATTGACCTTCCTGGATGGAGAGCGCTTGTTTGCAGCTGCTAACAGGAGACTCGAAAGCTTAGGTGATTCCTGACGAGCTCTCTTGAGTGCAGGCTCCCTATCATCATCACCCACACCACCACCAGATGGCTCATTGCTATCTTCATCTGTTAAGAAAAATAAAATTTGTAGAAGTACACAGTACAGTACACACAAGATTAAATGTCAAGCTTGGAAGTAAAAACAAATACAGTATATAAAAACTGCCAGAGAAAGTTAAATCTATTCCAGGGGGTTAAAAGAAAATACAGTAAATTTTCTCTTTCAAAGGGTTGTCTACCTAGTCAATTACATGTTCAATTGAAGTAGTGGTGTTAGCAGCCCACTTGCCCACACAATTATCACAGCCTGGTTGAGCAGGCACTTGGCAGTAAGATCCATATAATAAACGAAATGACCAAACCATATGAAAATAACAGGAAATTAGAAAGGAGAAAATTTATATGCAAATACACAGAGATCGAAGAATTTCAAGATAACTAGTGCTAATAGACATCATGAATTAGAAGGAATCTAAATGAGGTAGCATTCAGACAACTACTCATTGTGAAAAAGGAACAGTAAAAAAAAACAAAGGAGAAATGGTAACACCAGTAAAAGACGCACACAGGCTATCAAGATTCAAATCCAAAATACAAAATGATGAAATTTTAACAGCAAAACAAAATGCATACAACCCACCATTTAACACTTTCAAAATCTCTCGCATAAATCTACGCTACTGATGCAAGCATCGTTTACGTAGATCTACACAAATTTAGCACCCAAAACAAAAAAACGGGGTTGCTGCAGTGCATTGTGGGAATGCCATGTTAGTACCAATGTTCACCAAGTTGCACAGATGCAAAGGTCTCACTCCCAGGCAAACTCACCATGTAGTATTTTTCCCCAGTGACAGCTCCAACACTGAGGATTACAGAGCTGAAGTGGCATTCTATGGGTCAAGTGCTTAGCAACTGAGAGATGCTAGAGATGCCAGAAATAGTACTGAAAACTCCAATGACCCACAGACATCCACATCTAGGGTAAATTCGTCTAGAACTTGTCCAAGCCACATCTAGGGTAAATTCGTCTAGAAAATGTCCACGCCATAAGCTTAAGTTCATATTCTCCAATGGTTTGGGCACAGATGATGCAAATAGTAATGACAGCAATGAGAACTTTGATTTCCTAGCAACTGATGACCAGTCTAGTGATAATGATTATAAATATTTGTTTATCAAGTGTCAATTTATACAGCAATGCACATGATCTTGTAGCATCCACAGTGCTATCCCCAGGGTATGTAGTACATCACAGGACCCACTGCCAAGGCAAGGGGCCCTTACCACAGACAGTGAAAGTGAGAATGATGGTGCTTTCCACTGACATGGGTAGTGGGCTGTGGGAAATGCCAGCACCAGATGCAGCAGCAGCTGGTAGGATAGGGAGGTGGGTAGCACTTGCCTCAAAGCCAGCTAGGAACAATACCCCATACACCCAACCCCAGGTTGCATCCACCACCCCCACACAACTATTAACAAACAGCCAAAAATATCCAGCAACCATCACAAGACCGCATCAGAGATTGGCAGGAGAATGCACACTTTGTGCCAAATTCCCACCAATTTGATGACAGTGAAATCCAGCTTTCAACTGAAGCCTCAGGAACTTAATTCTTTAAACTAAAAGATACTTGAGTATTCAATAGCAAACACTTTGATTTCACTATGATCATGGCTGCACAAGTGAAAAGACAACTATGGCTAAGCTGCATCTCTTCTTTGCCACAATTATGGTTAAGCCACACATTTATAAGAACAATATTGCATCATACAGGTAGACCAACCACCTTATACACATGTACCCCGGCATTCAGAGATCTCAGCCCCACCAACATATTAATCCTGCTGCTACATATGATACATTTCTCAGACATGATGAGGCTTGACAGAAGTGACATATTATACATGATTAGGAATGCTTTCATGCATCTCAAACAAGAGGTTCAGTGAGGAGTTTTATCCCTCCAAGAGCCTTGTCACCAACAAGTCTGTTATCCCATTGAAAGGTAGATTGTTGTCAAAACAGTATATATCAAGAAGAAATGCTTTGGCATCAAACTGTTCATGTTGTATAATTATGAAAGTGACTTGGTATTAGATCTCATTGAATACAAAGGAAGCAAAACACTGTAGGATACCAGGAAGTTACCAGAAATTTCAGGTGATGTGTGAGAAAAATGATGGAACTATATCTTGTTAAGTGCCATATATTATACACAGGTAACTGGTACACATGCCCCTTACTCATCAATTTCCTGTGGGTGAACATGATAGACACAACTCATGAAATCGTAATGACACAATTGCAAACAAACCATACCACAGGAGGGATTTGAACCTGTGGTCATAGTCTCAAAACTCCAAACCGTCGCGTTAGCCACTGCGCCAGCTAGCTTCAATAAGATTCGTCCAACTAGGTGCATTTCTACACCATAGGAAGGTTAGCATAGGCACCACTGTGCCCACAAATGCAAGTTTTTACAGACGAATCTCCCGCTAGCATGGCCGTGACGAACTCTAGCTCAAGTCCCCTCAAAGCCATCAACATGAGTTTTGAGACTCTCTGGCCGCAGGTTCAAATCCCGCCCGTGGTATGGTTTATGATAGACATATGTGGTGCAGTGTGTGAGGAACATATAAATAAATGCCCAGGTTCAACGCAAGCATGGGTAAAGTGAGGTGTGGGTGTTTCATGCCAATGATAACATGACATTTAGATGGCATGACAAGCATTGTTGACATCAGCCACCAACACAAAATGAAAGACACGCCAATAAACCCATCGTGGGACCAGCTGCTGTCATGGATTACACCACCAATAGGCATCTGGTGGATAAATGTGACATGCAGATTGGATTTGTTGTTTGTGTACATAAGAATTACAAGTGGTACACACAACTTTTCTTTCATGTGGATACTGTAATGCTGAAAGCATACAATATGTACCAGATCAAGATCAACAACAGACCGCCATGTGCCCACTACCGCTTGTCTGTTAATAGACAAATACAGACATACCTTCACAATATATGCACCACAGGACTGATTACCAAATAACCTCTCAATTGAAGTATGGTAATTGCTTCCTAGCTACACTTCCTGCTACAGACAAGACGAAATGAGCTGAGAAGAAGTGTGTGTACACACCCACACACAAAGTGCCCAGCAAAGTACAGGGCCACGTGCCGTCAAACACCACTGTGTATGGAGCTGTTTCAGGGACTTGCACAGATCAACAGTTAAGAACATAAGAACATAAGAAAGGAGGAACACTGCAGCAGTTCTTGGAATATGACCTGTGCCAGTATATATGCTACATCTCTTATAACAGTAGTAGTGTGAAGCAATTAGATGTGTGTGCCTACGTTGTGGTATATAAACATTTTGTAAAGAATGTAATAATGACACCATTATTGTAAGTTTATTTAGGTACAAGTACACACAAATACCATTACACAAATATCATACATAGTTACATGTGTGTAAATTACCTAGGATAACCCAAAAAAGTGAGATAAAGTGTGTTGCATACAATGGCTAGACATACATGCACTATGCATAATCGAGGTATCATGGGCCACAACAGTTACTAGAAAAAAAAAAAAGTGTAAATACAAGTAAATTAATACAATGTGTGCAGCAATCCTGCTATCAACCTTCAAATTCAAGCCTTCATATCTTGCAGGAAAAATGTTTTCTGCTTCATTACAACTACAAAAATATGCTCTTCTTTTTTTTAATTTTTTAAAATCACAATACATCCTCTCCTCACTTACCAACATACTCGTTTACCAACAACTCAGAGTTACGATGGGCTCTCCGACGAGATGTATTGTATGCTATACGAGAACTTGGGTCATGAACGGGCAGCACAGCATCTCAGCATCATCTCAATCTCCTTCCTACACCCACTCAGTACACTAGCTTTCACAGTCTCCCTGATTACACATTTGTACAAATTTGTACTTTACTGTGCATCCCAGAGTACAAGATAGAAGTGCAGCAGCACTTGGAAGAGGAAAAACAAGAGGAAAATGAGAGAAGTACAAAAGAAGTTCACAGTAAAGGGGGTTAGCTGGTGTGTCCGTTTGTGTGTTTACATTCTCTGTGTTTCATGGGAGCTTATATGATTAAACTCAGTGAACAAGGTATGTCAATAGTAATAATTAATAATAATTGCTCTGGAATGCTTTATATGTCAGCTATCAAACCTATACAAAATACATATGACATTTACAGCACTCCAGAGTGATTATTATTATTTATTATTATTACCATCGACATACACCTTTCACTGAGTTTAATCGTTTCTTAACCCTTTCAGGGTCCGTCCCGTAGATCTACGGCTTCACGTTGAGTGTCCAAACCGTAGATCTATGCCAAAATTCTAGCGCTGTCAAATTTAGCACGAAAGCGCTCAGAGGCCTACATGTGAGAACGGGTCTGCATGGTGGGTGTGCGCCATACAAAAAATCTAGGCGCCCGCATAGCATTGTGGGAACGCCGGCTCAGTTACCCTTGTTCACCATGCCTCGTCGCAAGTCAGCTCTCACTCCCCGGAAAATTGGGACTCTCCTCTTCCTATCTGATAGTTCTGACACTGATGGAAGTGGAAATGAAGACGAATTCTATGGCTTTGATCAGTTAGTGACCGAAAGGAATGACCAGGATATCGATAATAGTGCAGAAAACCCTGACAATCCTCAACTTTCTACCTCTGGTGTGGGCACTCGTGACTCATGGTCGGTTGTGCCTCAACGCAAGAGAAAACTAATATTTTCGCGTGGCCAGGCCTCTGACTTCAGTAATGATGATGATAGTGACGTGGATTGTGATTTTATTGCGCTTGACGATCATTCGAGTAGTGATAGTGAGGAATCATATTCACCAGTGAAGCATCGGTATGTTCGCCACTGCATGCGCTCGGGTAGTGTACCCTATGCTGTGCTCAGGGGACGGAGTACATCCCGGAGTACATCCCGTGGCCCTACACCAGGTTTAGATAGTGATAGTGAGGATGATGTGGCTACACTTGGCATGGATAGACCACAGGCATCAGTAGA